ATAGATAGATAGATAGATAGATAGATAGATAGATAGATAGATAGATATTGGTAGATAGGTGGGTAGGTAGATAGACAGAAAGACAGGTAGGCAGGCAGGTAGGTCAGTAGGCAGGAAGTCAGGCAGACTAACTGACAGACAAACCTTTTGGATGGATGGATGGATGGATGGATGGATGGATGGATGGATAGATAGATAGATAGATAGATCGATCTATATTGGTAGATAGACAGATAGGTAGGTAGGTAAGTAGGTAGACAGAAAGATAGCCAGGCAGGTATGTAGGCAGGCAGGAAGGCAGGCAGACAGGCAGACCTTTTGGATGTATGTAGGTATGTAGGTATGGATGGATGAATGGACGGATGAATGGACGGACAGACAGACAGACAGACAGAATGCGGCAGCAGCAGCACTTTGGGAAAGTAGAGCAAAGCCAGAGTGGGAACTGAAGTCCACACAAGTTGCCAAGGTTGAGAAACACGGGCTGAATATATCAACCCAGCTATTCTGATTTAGAGTTTAGCATGCTGTTTGATTCTGGCTTAGTCAATAAACTATGGCTAAGATCTTCCTGCTCCTTAATGCAGCTGCCCCTCTGCCCCTTCTCCAGCCCCCTGCCCCAGTTCTTTCTTTGGCACCCAATTTTGCAATGCCAACCTCCCCAGGGCAGCGATGCGGCTGACTTGACCCTCTTTGCTTTGACCCAAGGTCCACTTCCATTGGGCCAAGCAAGGGGAGGTGCTCTGCACACGCTCAGAGACTCCCAACTTTGGGGAAGCGCTCCGCCCGTCTTTACACTCTGACCAGGAGGAGAAAGGCATGCAGAAGCAGCCCAGAAAAAAGAGGTGGAGGGAACGATCACTTCGAAACTAAGCAAGCAAGCAAGCGCAGGGCTCGGTCAGAAGAACCGGACTGCAGAGGGAGACTAGGTTCTAGGTCCTGGCCAGCCACATAGAACTGAACTGAACAGATACATGCACCTTGGAGAGCCGCAGCTGCACCCACTTTCATCCTGTGTGCAAACCCGGCTGGCTGGAGAGGCAGAGGCCGGAGAGTGCTGCATGCTCCCTTGTTCTCCTCCAGGGAAGGGGGCCCGAATGCCGGACTACCCACCCTTTCCACTGTGCGCCTTGTTAGGGTTTTGCCTTTGGGTCTTCTGGAGCATCTCCACTGCTTCCACCGGAGAGGGCAGCCTGCAAGCTAAGATCCCCCCCTTTCCACTAACTCCCACCTCTCCACGCCCCCCAGGCTTGGCAAGGCTCACCATGTACGGGTTCTGCATTTGAGGTGCCGGCTATGGAGCGATGAAACAGTCAAAGGGCTACGTGGCCAGCAGTCAGTGAGCCTGTGGGACCAGAGCCTCGAACGCCCCCCTGCCACCTCTTAGTGCCCTATTGCCAGCACCCTTGCCTCTTAGTGTCCCCCTAATGCATCTCACCGCCCTCCGGGGGCAGTACCACCCACTTTGGGAACCACTGCTTTGGAGGAAAAGGCTATTCCTGTCAAATTCATTCCTGTGAAATGGGATGAGACTTGAGATCCAGAAATGGAGCATTGGGCCACTAAATTAGACTTTTCCATCTAGATGTCTTGGGTACCCCCCCCCCCATTTGTCAACCATCTAAATATTCTCTTAATGCATCTGGAAAAACATCATGGTTGGAAATACTATGCTAGGCTGGAGTAAGTAATGCCCCACTCTTTTGCTCTCACTGAGCTAAAAATAGTATATACTACATGAGTATCACTTGAAATAAGGTGCTATCTAATAATAAGATATTATTTCAGTCTGGATTATTAGTATTTAAAAAGGTATCCTTTTTAAAAATGTATTAATCAGTCATGCTTTGGCCATGTCATTGTACTTTTAAAATGACTGTAATTAATATTACAGTTAATAACTAAAGATGCAATCTAGGAGTATTAAAATAATTTAGGAGTTAACAAATGATTTTTTTAAATTCAAATTTGTCCCACAAAACAGCTTTAAAAGTGGTTGTTAATAGTGTAACTGATTTTAATACTATGGGCAATTAAGTTTCATGTTATCTTTTTTATCATGTTATTTTCTCTGATAGTAGTGGACAAAAAGAAATTATTCACTGACTTTACCCAATGAAAGCTCCAAAAAGAACAGTAGAGACTCAAGGAATGGCCTCTAGTGGCAAATTGCATAATCATTGGTTGTTGTCATGGTCACCATTCTGAGGGCTCCCCAGAGGCCAGTGGAGAACACAAAAATGCCTTCAGCCTGTAAAAATAACAAAAGCTCACAACCTCATACACTCTATAACAGACATAGCAGACTCACTGCAGACTAACCATCTCTGCAGGTTATACGGCGTTTACATGTCCTGTTGCTGCCTTTTTTAAGCAGTTACAAATATTACAATAAAATCACAGCTTGGTGTTATAATATAGGGAGGATGTGCAAAATCTAGCAATTTTTGGAAACTTGGAGGCAGTTAACTTTTTTCCAATTCAAAATGTAAAAAAAGCTACATGCAGAATATTTAACCCGACTGCCTGTTTTTCCCTCGCAATCTTGCCACTTTCCCTTACAATATTAGTCATGAGACCACAAAAAGAGCTTTGTTTTTATCTACATTCTGGTCTCATGAGTGCCAAATGAATACCCAGAAGAAGCATGTGAGGGCAATTATGTTATTTTCAGAATTCTGCTTCTGATATTTAAGTATACAGAAGATATTACAACCTGAAATTCATTTCTGCTATTGGATGAAATTTACATTAAATAGGTTTGTGAATCAGACCTGATATCAGTTAAACCAAAGATTTAATGTTTGTAGGTGTTCAATTCAATTTTGCATGTCAAGATGCCATCCTTATTTTAACAAGAACCACTTCTGGGAAGACACAAAAAGGCATTGAATGACAAATCTCAATGTGACACTAATTTATAAAATTGTGCTTCTTAGCAATATTTTATTTGAAAGATTAGAAGGGTTTCACTTCTCAATTGGTTTACTTTCCATAATCTAATTGTAAGTAGGTGCCAGAATTAGTGGAAGGCTGGTCAGTAATTTGAATTGAGCAACTGTATCAGTGAAGACAACAGAAGCTGGTTACACAATTGTGTTGCTTCAGAAACTCTCAGAATCAAGCAGCTAGATTGTGAAGAAGAGGACAAGCATAGATGTAAGACACACATATTCTACT